AAATAAGAGTTGCATCATCTGTTGAAATACGAAATATTTTTTTTGTAAGCTATGTTTCAAAGAAGTTATTTTAAAAAAGAGTACGAGCTGAGTAAACGAGGATCTGAAAACAGCAGACTGCAATACTGAGGTTTGAGAAGTGATGCTGCAAACCTGCGGGAGACAGACAACATACGGGATGCACTACACATGGAAGCGGGTAACAGGAACTATGGTCTGATGGTAAGGACTCGTGGAAGGTTAAAAGCAAAGGATTAGCACTCAACTTTGATATTCTAGGAAAGAAAGTCAGCAAGGAGATCAAACATTAAATTCTGATCTCCCAGTTCCTTTCAGTGAGAAAGGAGCTGTAACAAATTGGATTTACTGTACTTACAAAGTTGAGGAAATCAGTTTCTCATAAAGCAAAAAAGCTTTACAAGAGGACTATCTAAAAATGAAGGTAAGAGTCCTAAAGAAGAGTCAGGCTTTCCTATTTCTCAAGAAGATTTAGCTTTTCAGGGAGGATTACAGAGCCAGGCACAGCATGTTTTAAGTTCTACTCACAAGGGGACGCAAGCCACAGGTTAAATTTCCAAACCTTTGCTCAGACTCTTCTGCTTCTATTTCCTTGGACAAGCTTCCATCTGCTTTGGTCTTGACAGCAGAGGTAGAGCCCACATCTCTACAGCCTCGTGCCTTCACACGTGACCCTCCCATCCCTGCCCTGGGCCAAATACTTGTGGCAGCTTTCCTGATGCTCTCCAACACAAACAATGTTGACCAACTGATGAAAAGCACAGACACAACCATCATAAGCAAGTTTTCAACTATACGGGGCATTAATTGTCTTTGGAAATGGTTAAGAGTACTCTACAAGTTAATGCTTGGAAAACAGCAGTGTGGTAGGCTGTGTACCACAGAAGGGTACAGAGTATTCACTGTAATTAAAGGCTTTCACTGTTACAAATAGCCTTTCAGGATTGCAACTAAACTGTGGTTTACTATCTTACATAGATACATATATTATCATCCAGGTAAGACCTGCATTGCTGGATCTATATTATAGTCTAGTATATTAAAATATTACAAATGGAGTACAGACATTATCTGGGCCTTGAAAGACTGAATAATTCCTAAGTAACAGCTAGAAAAATTAAGGACAACTAACTTTAAGATCTGCTAAAACATATTAAGTTTGTCTGTGTAATTGCATAATATAAAATGTGAGTGACCCTACAATTTAATTTCTTATTTGTGCCATAATCAAAGACAGAACAACAATCACCACAAAAGAGTTTCCTTCAGTGTTGTTCTCTCTACAAAGCACTTGAACAAGACAGTGGTACTGGAAGAAACAAAGCCAAATAAAAAAAAAAAAAAAGAGTAACTCAGTGCAAACTGAGGAATACGTTTTCAGTATGTGTAAATTAACAAATACTGAAAAGGGGTCTTACACCAGGCACAGCAGCCTGAACACCTGATAAATCTATTATGAGAAAATCCATGTTAGTAAACATTACACAAATCTCTCATCATTTGAACAAAAATCACCGTAGAAGAAAAAGAAATACATCCTTTAAGTTGAGGTTTTTGCCTTCATATATAATGCTTTCTGTTTTTCTTAGGATTCTATTTTAAAAGATTTTCTTTGTTAAAGTGATTAGCTTTTATAACACTGATGAGTCACTATCCAGGAGATGAGTCACTGTTCAGTAAATTGATGAAATCCCTTTTGTAATTACACATCAATGCTTGACGTATAAATATCAACTTCAGATACAGAATCAACTTAAACCTATAAAGTAGCACAGATCAGCTGGGAAATCTTGCTGCAGATAAAGGTAGAGTGTAAGCTAGAAGAAAGGTTGCTGTGTGCAAACAGTTCCAGAATTGCCCAGTCAGTCCTGTGACTGATGGGGTGTGCAATCCAAACAAGTCTGGAGATCACTGCTCCAAGATGCATCCAAGACTTCTTCACAGGATATCAGAGGATGAAGAAATGGTCTCCTTTGCAATTTTGATTATTCCAGAATCCAATTTCCTGATGAATCAATCTCTCTGCCACTGCATTTTGAATGTTAGGAAAATAAAAATGTTTTCTTCAGTTACACATTCCATTGCTCAGAGGCTTCTCTTGGCTGTCCTCCTGTGAGTTGTTACTTTTAAGCACTGGCTTTAAGAACTGCTCCACCTCAATTGTAAAAAAAGACACTATTTTTATAGAAGACCAGAGCCAAAAGCACTGTTTTCTAATGATGAACTGCAAGAAGTGCCAGGTAATGGCAGAATGGGGTTGTTTCAAATCGATATAAGCAATCACCATGTGCAAACAGAGTACTGTTTACTGGGCCATTAAATGAACAGCAAACCAACCCAACAGTGTGATGCAGAAGTACAGATTGCAACTTCGGCACTAAGAGGCAGCTGGGTCACAGGTACAACCAAATTAAGCTCTAATGAATCCCAAACCACAGCTAGAAATGCGTATTTACATTTGACAGTTGATATCTTCAAAATCACATTTGTCCCATGCTTTGGAAACTTTTAGAAGTGACAGTATCATAAAATTAATCCCCCTTACTGCAACAGCAACAGCAAACATTTCTCAAGAAAGCAAATGAAAGCCAGAATATATATATACCTCACTGCCCTTATTCCAGTTGACAATCACTTGGCAATCTCTTAATCTGCAGAGAGCGTGGTAAAAGATGAAGCTGTTCTTGATCAGGTATAGATTTATTTAAACAGGTCTGACTGACAATCAGGTGGCCTAATGCAGCTCCACTGTTCTAACCTGATTTGCCATCAAACAACTGCCAGCCAAGGGAGATAGTCAATCCCTGGATGGCTGGGCATATTGTTAAGAAATCTGGTTAAGTGAGATACTTTTTTTGTTTCCTCCCATGAATAACAAGAGAAATTTTCAGATTCACTGTTTTCCAAAAATCATCATAAAGTAGCTTTTAATTAGATTAAAATTTGTTTTTTGTAGTTTGAATCCTCAAACTTCTGAGTCAATGTCAATGTTCTACAGTTTTCAGTATTCTTAATTTTCTCATAGTGGCTGTTGAGACAGAAATGATTTCTAAGCTGTTTCAGTCTCCCCTTCCCATATATATTCCACTTTCCCTTATTAAGCATAAATATGGAAAAGCTTTTCTGTAGGTAATTTAATTTATAAGCCGAGGCCTTGCTGACCACCAGCATCATCTCATTTCCAGGTCAGCAACAATAAGAACCCACGCTGCCAAGAAAGTTCCCCCTTCCTTTTATTTTTCAGAAGCAGACATAAACAGAACCTCAGAGGCTGCCCAAATCCATTAGTTTGTTGAAAATATATGTAAAACATTCTGACTTGCATGCCTTTAAAACAGCAGTTTGGAAATATCAATAAATGCTCAAGAAAAAATCCATAGTAGAATTTTCTACTTTAACAACAGCCAGTGGAATAGAATAGCGACATTAAAAAGAAAATATAGAATGTTTATTTACAATAAATTCAATTACACAGAAAACAATCCTAAATCAGATCCCCAACGTTTTACAAACATTAATGTTATGTGCCTCCGACAGAATCACAATCCCAAACTTGCTCTAGGCTGCTGGTAAAGAATCCAGAGACTACAGAATACATTCATGACTTCAAAAGGCTACAAATGGTAGGAGAGCAAAAGACTAGGAATGAAATTCCATCAGTGCTGTTCTAAAACAGCCTGACCATAAAAAACAACTGGCTAAAACTCATGCATTAGTCCAGATACATTAGCGAAAGAAGATACTTTGCTGCAAGGTCAGCACTTCATCCTTGGTCAAGAATAGAATAAAATAAAACATAAAGCAAACAAAACACAAGTATAGAAGAACAATTACAAGATGTTAATTAGGACTGTTTTTCACCATTAGAAACCAGCTACTGTTCCTTCCCCCTTTCCTCTCCCACATAAGGAGCCATCAGTTCCTAACACACTTTAAGAAGGGTTCATCTGACAGGCACTCAACACTCACGGTGATAACAATGCAAAAAAGCTGCCCCCCAGATATCCAGTGTAGTCCAGGCTCCTGACTACAGCATCTCAAAACAGCTATACAACAACACACTGTCAAGATACAACAGAAGCTGCTCCACAATTTAAGCCTTTACATACAAAAGCCAGCAACCAAAATTAAAGCCCAAAGATTGATGTCTATACAACAGTCCAATTGCACACAGCCCAGCTAAAAAGAAGCATTCAAAACTTCCAAATAAAGTGGGTTGAAGTGAGCTCACTTCTCCCTCCCAGTAACACTTCTGCCTGACGCTCAGACGTACTCAGGCAGGTCAAAGAAGTGTACTGTGAGTTGTCAACTATCAGAAACAAGACAGGGCTGTCAGGATGTACTACCTAAGGGGTGCAAGACACTTGAACACTTAACATATTAAGAGTTACCTTTACTATTAAAACGTTTTAAGACTTGTTTTGTTATTTGAGTCTTTTGCATTGCATTAAATGCGAGTAACTCATCAATTAAGAATATTTTTAGGATTACCAGATGAACTTCTACCGTGTGCAAGACCTACTCAGATAAAATAGAACCCATATAAAGAAAGAAAATAAGTAGTTCTTTGCCCTCTCCTGCCTCCCTGTTCCCTGCTTAACTTTTTAAAACCAATACTCAAAAGGAAGTTATTTCTAATAATGTCATTTTTTTCGAAGAGTAGCCAAAAAGCTGGAATTAATGAAATATGAAGAACATTTCAGAAAAATGTGTCAAAAATGTAAGAAAGTTTAGTCTAATCAATTTTAGATTTGCAGAAAAAAGTTCACAGTTATTCAGACTTACACAAACACATTTTTTCAAGGGAGGCATTTCTGAGTATAAGAATTGTCAAAAGAAAAATAAAAGCTGAGATACATTAATTTCTTTAAGTTTGACTCATTTCCACAGGATCAGAAGTTCTTCCTACTGTATACTTAAATTTGAATTAAATACATTTACTAATTCTGCTTTCACAATGTTTTCCCATTATACTAACTTACAACTGGTCTTGCAGTTCCATAATGATATATTCCAGCTGTTCCTTCTCCATTTTATGGGCTAGATCCATATCTTCAATTCTTTGTAGGAGCAGTTTATTCTGTGAGACAGATTCAGATAGCTGGTTTTCTCTGAGTCGTACCAGCTCCTCAAGATAACCCTGGAAATAAAAGTGTTAGAAAGCTTTAAAGAACATTCAAGCAGAGAAGTTTTCCTTATGTATGTTCATGTTTTTCTGGTTTAAAATAAATAAACAGAACTGTATAAATTTTACTCTGATCAGTAAATTGACCTAAGATTCGTAGGACATTTCTTACTCAATACTGAGAGAATCAAGTTCTTACCCATGTTTCAAGAATGGTGGGTGAATCAGTAAGACAGTAATGCCACAAACATGAAACTTGCATATGCATGAAAAATGCATAGAGCCATCACTAGCACAAGAAAAAAATCAGGACTCAACAAAAAAAAAAAAAAGAAGAGAAAAAAGAATATCTACACTTTATCCGTAAAGCTGTACTTTTAATGAAAGGGATCCCAAATTATTATAGAAAATCCAGTTGCTCTGAAAGCCTCATTCTTGGGAAAGCTGCAATGTCAGACTGTATGTTAAAATAACAGAGAAGAAAGTAATCAAAGTGAAGACTCATCTGCATGAAAGCATAAGGTAGGAAAACTGGCAAAGGTCACTTCTAGGAATATTGGATATGTATAGGTGCAACATGCATTTATATCAGTTTTCCAGCTGGTAATAGGAAAGATTTGGGGCAGTTCTAGTCATACTCCAAGTAAGTAGTGCTTTGAATGTATTTACAAGTACACTAGGACATACTTAAGTTCCCTGCCTTGCAGAAATGTCAAACAAACATTTAATGAAGATTTTAGATGTGAAGCATCAGTAACACAATAACATTAACAGTAAATACCTGCATCAATAATGACCTGAGATGTGTCACCCCACCAGTGAAAGTATATAAAAGTCCAGTACACAGCACACAAAGAATTTATGAAGAATTTATGAGCTTACTACACAAATGGGAACAGCTAATACCATTCCAAAATAAGGAAGGGAGACTTTCCACATAATTAACGAATGTGTTAGCTATGACTCATTAATCTGGACAAAAGACAACTTGGAAAAGACAAACTCATCCTATTTCCAGGTTGGCATGGAGAGGGCAGGAAGGAACTGACTGTTCATTTTTTTGAAATACAAGAGCTACACACCATCAAATGAAGCTACTAAGCCAAAATCAATAGATGGAAAAGGAGGTGGCTTTTCACACAACAGATGGTAGACATGCAGAGCACCCTGCCAAAAGAAAAGAAGTTTTAATGCTAAAAGCTTGTGTGGGATCAAGGGGATACTCGATACATCCCAGGTTATTAAACAAACCATACCAGCTTCAGAAAGTTCTTCAGCTGATACAGGTTGGCCAAGAGAGTATTACAGAGTGTAAGTGCACCAGCGTTTTAATTTGTTTTTGTTCTGCCTGTACAGCCTGGTAGATGTACAGCCCACATCTACCATCTCACACTAACTCTGACTTACTCACTTTTACTCAGAAAAACTTTAACTAGGTTCTCTCACATGCATTATAGTAACCCAACTCTAATTCTGCCCATTTTGTATTAGCACTGACCTTAAGCAATCCATAGCTACATTTATCCTAATAATCTGAACATATGCAGCATTCCTTCTCAGGCACACTGTGTCAGTATGGCTACAGCTATACTAAAACTCAAGTTCCAAATGACCATGTCTGAAGTCAGACTGTTTGTTGGGAATGATCACTGGCAAACACCAGTTCACAAGTGGTGACCCGAATTTATGTGTGAGAATGCTAGCTGCCCCAGGCCAAGACCATGGCCAAACATAATTTAAATACGTATGTGACTGAATTGGAGCTGGGATCTGGCCTTTGAAATAGTTACTTTATTAAGCACATTAGCCATGCATATTCCCTGACTTTGATCAGAGATTACCACAGTTAACATACTGAGTTCTCATTTGCTAAAAGATTCATTCTAGATATCTTCTGATCCTCTTCTTTCCTTTTCTTTTTTTTCCTCTCCAGAACAATAGAAACTAGAAAGGCAGAGAAGCAATTTTGTAATTCCCTAAACTAATGGAAATAATTACACCTCCAGGCATCCCTATATAGTTTCAGATTTCATATATTTACTGTGTTGAGTGTTTGAAGAAAACCAAATTGTGACACTAAGAAAAAAATATACTAAAACCACAAAGTTATTTAAAAACATTAACCATCTGTTTAACATTGTCTTCTCTTTCAATTTTTATTTTACTTTTCTCTTTCTTTTCCTTTCTACTATTTCTTTGTTGACGATGAATTATTCTCCTTTATGCTGTTAGCTAATACACCATTTGTATCTATAATTTCAATATGCTACTATAATCCACCAACAGACATTTTGCTTTTTAAATGTACTGAAATGCTAACCATACTGAGAAAGTGTGTCCATAACTGCAATTCCACTTCACCTATAACTTATGAGTTTTCTGAGGGATGGAGGGAGAACCTACCTTTGCTTTCTGTAGCAACACTCAGTATGTCACATAAGCTACTCAAATCAAATACAGAACACTTTCTTTCCTTTCTCATTGCAGCTTGAAGCAGGTCTTAAAACTACAAACATTTGAAAATTTATCTCAGTATTACTGAGAAGATAATTATGCATTTCATTCTGGGACAGATTACTTTGCCAACCATTTTGTTTACCATTGAACTAACTGTTTAAGGTTATTACCATAATAAAAGTCTTCAGCTAGGATATGATGAGCATTAATAAACATATATGGTGAACTTCTAAAGAAGAGGGAAACCCCGCGAGCAATCAAGTTCACTTCAAACTCACAACACTTACTGAGATACATTACCTGTAAGACTGGAGAAAGAAGCCGCCAAAGCCTCTACGTTAGAAGCTGGTCCCTGAATTGTTACTCTTTTCTTCCCTCTCCCCAGACCTCCCTTCCCTCAAACTGCTGAGCAATGATAATACACTTAAGACCACCTACAAGGAGCTAAATAATATTTAACATTATTTTTCAGCCTTTGCTTAAATGGCTATGTTACCAGTTGTTTGGTGATCAGATTTGGCTCCATTTCCCCCACAGAAAACGAATCTCTAACCTTCTGTTCCAACGCGAGGCGGTACTTCTGTTCTACCCTTTTGCATTTGTTGTACCAACTGTGTTCATCCACGATGACAGAACCAATGTTCTCTGGAGTACTGCCTTCACTGCCACTACTGCCCAGTGTTCTCAGCTCTTCTTCATCACTGCTGATGCTGTCAGAACTAAAGAATCATACTTATTAGCCAAGTGAAAACCTATGTTAAAATGCAAATTCAACTTGAAATTAAAACACCATAGTTGCTAAAGATATCTGAAGCTCTGTAAACCACTAACAATGGGGAAAAACCAAGCACAACTTCTGTTTTAACCTTTATTTGTAAAGTCAACTGAATGCTTTACAAAATTTACTTATTAGTTGAGTCTCAGACTGGTGTCTTAGGTAAGTCAGACAAATGTATGCAGGATACTCTCCTGGAATATAAAGGATTAATGTAATACAATATGCTACCTAAGGAAGCGATGACTTAACCTTTGCCCATGATTTCAGGGCAAAGAGTAGTATCTGAACACAAACTGTACTAAAAGTAAAAATGCAGAAAATACGTAAGTGGTTATGTTTAAAATGATAAATTTAAATGAGTTGTGGTTACTGTGAAAACCATGCGCCAGTTATTTCACAGAACGTAAGAATATCCCTCAATAGCATGCAGCTTCAGTGTTAAAATCTCCCCATCATCCAGAATCAACACGTGCCACAGAATTCAGACATCTGTCTCAAAGATGAACATTTTAATTTATCCCAATACCCATCTGAAACCTTCCTTCATAACTATGCTTTTCAGTACATTAACAGATATTTACTAGGTTTTTTTAGTAGTCTAATTCCTTCTACTCAAAAATCTTAAGACTTCATAGGATTACAGTATTTTATCAAATTATTTATCCTATAAAAACATAGAAGTCATTCACTGTTTACATGCATTTTGGATTTTTTTTTTTCCGAAAGTAAACGAGGATACAAGCTTATATTTAGATAGGAATAGGATTCTGAATGCAAAATGAAAATCACGAAGACCAGTATGGCATAAAACTTTCACTTTGTTAATTGAAAAAACAATGTAGAGATCAAGAGTACCTTTCGATGAACTTCAGGTAGGGCGTGTAATCTATGACAGCTGGAAAGGTGCCATCCAATCCCTTACCCTTCAGACAAAAACTGATAAAACAGAGAAACAATGGTAAGATTATATCAAGAAAATTGTATGACAATGAAAGATGAATCTTACCTATGCGTAATCTGATTTTTTTCTTCTTAAGGCCTATAGCATTCAACCTACCCAGCCAAAATAGATTGTTTAATACTATAGGATAACAAAAAAAAAGACAAAAAAACCTCTCAGAATTAGGACACAGATCAGGGCAAGCAGTACAGACACTGATTTTTAAGTCTTTACTTTTATTCTAAAAATACAGGTGGATTGCGAGGGAATAACAATGTAAGGAAAGTTAGCCGAAACTACAACATCAGAAGAGCTGTCGATGAGTTTGAAATTGCCCGTATTTAAACTCAAAGTCTCTGCAGAATGCTTACATAATCACCCTGCTACTTTTAAGTAAAAAATCAGTTCTCAAAAATAGTTCAGACCATCTCCTTTTGATTACTTTGTGGTGTTGGGCTGCTCTAAGATGATGAACACTAATGAAACTAACATTCACAAAATGTTCTCGAGCAGCTGTAGCTTTATAAAGATCTTATATACATATGAATCTTACATATTCTTTTCACACTGGATTTAAAAGACAGTACTGGAATCGGATTTTATTATCACAAAATAGTTGTTATCATCTGGGTTTCCCCAGCTCTACTTCCAAAGCATTTTTTATCGCTCACAGAACCACAGAATGGCTTAGTTTGGAAGGGAATTAAGCTCTCAGCTAGTTCCAACCCCTCTGCCATGGGTAGGTAGGTGGTTTCACTGGATGAGGCTGCCCAAAATTCAAATGGCTGCCCCATTCAAACTGGCTACAACTACATCTTCTCCAGGCAACCTCTTACGTCTCTCAACCCAGTTCCACAGAGATAAGTCAGTTAACATTTTTAAGAGTGTTTGAACTGAAAAAAGTAATCCAAATACAACAAGCAAAGAATGGCTACAGACTCTCAGCCATTTAAGTCACAATATTATGAATAATGTGGTATAGTAAACGCTCCTGGAGGTCCACGTTCCTATTTTTCCCAGAAGATTTCTTGGTCCTTAAGAGCTGCAGTGACAAAATTTAATGCCTCCAATGGGAATAAGTCATTACTCTGAATGATATTAAGAGATACATGCAAAATCTGTTCATACTAGAAATCAGAGGATAAAGGAAGAGTGCATGCATTCATACAACCTAGATCACATAGAGATACTACAAGCCACTGAGGGTCATGGGAGCCAAACAAAGTCAATTCATTATAATTTATGGCAAGATTTACATACTGTTGATCCCCTCTTGCTACACTGCTTATTCATATATCGCTATCCTCCTTCCAAGCGTAGAATATAGAAGCATTTTTATTTTACATAGTGTAAAACTGAATGAATGAAATCTGGTAAGATTTCAATTTGCTGTATGCAAAGCTAGCTCCCTTATCATACTGCAGCATACTTCCGTTCCCCCACAACATATGGTGATCACACAGTTAATCCAAACCAATGACTAAATGCTGGCAAGAGAAACTATCCTGCTTTTTAAAACGCACACCCCATTTTAGTTTTGTTTTGTGGGTTTTTGCTGCTGTTTTTTTTTTTTAAACCCCAACCAGACATCCTTTCCCCATCCTCAGTGGTATTGCCACTTATCTGATTCCAGTATGAGTTAGTTCAGCCAGTAAGATCTTTACTTTCCCTCCTTGTCCCTCATGCCTTGCATCCACTTTCTAGTCTGCAGACAACTGAAGTAAAAGCTCACTGCCACAAGAAAAGAAAGCCCTTATTTTTCTATAAAAAAGCCACTTTTTTTTTCTCATTCTCTACATCAAGCTTTATGGCCACTTCTATCTTCTGCAATTACACTTCTGATTGCTTTCAGGATTTTGAAAGAGATACCACATAATCATTCTGTATTAACTATGGCATAATTTTGTTGTTATCCAGAAGAGCCATTCATGATCCTCCTCCTCAGCTTTGTCTCTCATACTTATCAGCTGAACTTAAACGTTTTCCATAACGTGTAATCACTTTCTGGGAGCACTGTAGTAAGCAGCATGCAAATACAATACCTGAAATCAATTGCATTGAGTCCCAGCAGCATACCAGCAAGCATATTTGCTTCTTCACCAAGAACTATTGCTCCATCCTCATAAAATCTCCTTCAAGAAAAGAAAAAAATTACCTCCATTAACACTACTTTTTTTCAAATAATGATTGTTTTCACAGTTAACAGAAAATTGAGAAATCCAGTTTAAATAAAAACAATCCATGTGAACCCCAGGGGCACTCGTACTTCATTTCAAATAAAGCAAACCAGCAGACTGCACAATGCAGAACACCGTAGTCTAAAACTTCAGACAGAAGATGAATTTATAACATTAACCCTAAAAAGCAGTAGAAGAGGATGGACAAAATGCAAAGAAAATGACAATACCGTGTATTTTTCTGTTGAAAGGATGAAATTGCTTTGTGTACATTCAAAAAACAAATTATTCCATGGTAACAAGAAAATAGAAGTTCTAGTTACACTATCTTTCTTCTCCCAGCTACCAAAGAAGCTACTTCCAGACTGAAATGTTCCACAGGACAGCTAAATAGGGCCCACTGTTGCCATGAATGGCTTTGTGATAAGAATTTGTAAACGCTAAAAAGACTAAATGCAGTCTGTTGAGCAAAGCAGAAGCATCCAGATGATTCAGAGAGATCTCAAGTTGGCTGTATGGCAACTTGACAAACCAGACAACCAGAAAAGACATTTTGGATCTCAGCACCGAAGTCTGTTTGGACTCCATACTAAATGAACACTGCAATAAGTATGCACTTCTAACATTCCTTTGTAGTACGGAAAGGAGATGTGCAAGACTCTGCATGCTCCACAGTGGAAGCAAGAAATCTGAGAGACATCCTCTGGGATGATAACCTTAGTCTTGGAACCAGCACCCCTATGATGTAGATTCTGCTCCCTAACCCTTGACTTCAGGCAAGATAACAGAAGGCTAAAGCAGCAGCCTATCGAGGCAGAATACTGAGCTAGACGGACTTCAAAATAAGTTTATTTGCAAACAAGAAACAACACTCCTAGTACAAGTAAACCTTTTAACTGTTACTTCCAAAATCACTGCCAGGTAACAATCTGTACTGTGAACAGCAGCTTGTAAAATGGTGCCTGGGAAGCATTCAAGCAAAAAAGATGCATAGCATAATTAAAATAGTAAGATGTTCACTTTTTCATTTCTGAAATCAGCTACAGTTATCTAGCCAAAGCTAAAGTCTCCTCAGAAAATTCCCTGATCTTTGCTCAGTGCTGTAACTGACAGAATACAACAAGAAAGACTGTGTGCTTTAACATAAGACTGCATTGGCCAATTTTTTAGAATAATTGCGAGCTCGTGCTTAATCCAAGCCCCTACCAAGTGTAACATACAGACCCAGCATTAATAATGAACTGTTTCATTAAAGCACTAGGCCTAAAGTCATCCACCTAAACAAAACAGCAAGATCTAAGAGCTGGCAAGATGACAGATGCAGTATTCCACATACATATGTGAAATACACCCAGAGTTCATATATATGAACATATATATACACACATATACATATACACTGAATACACAGCACAAGCACAATGCATCATTTAAAAATGTAAATAAGTTGGCAAAGCACCATCAAAAAAAAAATAATCAAGCCACTTAACAGTTATCCAAATTACCACATGGGAAAGAGAATGCACCCATTACTGTTGGTGAATCTAATGTCCACAGCACCAAGATTTCAAAGTGTAACTATTAATTCTAATAAACATATTTTAAATACTATTTCAAAACAAAAACTGCATATATTACGTTTGCAGCACAAGAAATTGATTCCTAACTCTATAGCACTAAAAGAAAATCCAATTATAAAACATCAAATACAGCAATTTGAAACTAATACAACAGCTAATAAAATAAGACTGCTGTTATCTCCTAGCAAACAAACTGCATTATCAAGCAGGTACAAACATACTACTTAACTATATATGTTCTGACCCTCCTCTTCCTTCTCATCTACCTCTCAAAAACCCAAGTGACTCTTCTGTTTGATGCACTGTAAGTTAATTTCTTTACCAGAAATTTTTGCTTTATCAGCTTCTTGTCTACTGCAAACACAAGCAAACATGGATAAAATAAAGATGATAGGACTGGAAATTTCAGTAAAACAGTATGTTTACCAAACTGTGTTTCAAGGTCATCTTAATATTGGGAAAATAAACTGAGATCCGTGGAAAAATATTTTAAACAGAAATAATATTCCAAATGAACAGAAGTTCTTACAGAGTACGTATTCTTTTCACTATGTCTAGAACTTTTTGAGTTCAACATAAGGTTTCACAACTCACGCAGACTCATACTTAGATGTTCTTATCACGAATCAATAAGATGTCGCTGTTACAGGATAGTAAGTTGACACACTACCTAGAACCAGTCCAGAATGGTGAAAATAATTTCCGTCACAAAGCATATTCTTATCTGTAACAGCTTTTATTATCAAGTGGTACAACAAAAACCTGTTTTCATATTACATCAAGAATTCTAGCCATGTCTGACTATTATTTCTGTTCTGTACTTCTCAAAAGCTTCCTGGAATTCCCTTCCTTCTTTCTCCAAGTTCCCAGAAGTCTAAAAAATGTATTTTTAATATATTGAGTCTTTCTGACATCAATACTTATTTTTGAAATGAATTACATTCATTTTATATACCTTCAAGTGCAAGGATCTGCACCTGGGTCAGGGCAATCCCAAACATCAGTACAGACTGGGAGAAGTGGATCGAGAGAGATGAATGGATGAAAAACTTAACATGAGCACACGCACCTGAAGTCCAGAAATCCAACCATACCCTGGGCTGCATCAAAAGAAGAGTGACTAGCAGGGTGAGAGAGGTGATCTCTCCCCTCTCTTTCACTCCTGTGAGACCCCACCTGGCACTCAGTACAGCACCCAGCAGAGAGGCCTCCAGCACAAGAGAAACCTGTTAGAGTGGGTTCAGAAATACACCCATGTGCATGAATGCTGCTGTGAAGACAGGCTAAGGGTTGGGGTTGCTTAGCCTAGATGAAAGAAGGCCCTGTGGAGATCATACTAATGCCTTCCAATGCATACAGGGGGGCCAAGGAAAGATGTATAGGGACTCTACCACAGTATACAGACAGTGGGTGGTAAGAAAAATGGTAATGGTTTTAAACTTAAAGAGGATAGATAAGAAAGAAATTCTTTACTACAAAGGTGGTTAGTACTGTACAGGTTGCCTGCAGAAGCTGTGGCTTCCCCATCCCTGAAGGTGCTCAAGGCCAGGCTGGATGTGACTTCTGAGCACCCTGATCTAGTGCGTTGTGATCCAGCCCATGGAAGGGGGGGTTGGATGATCTATTGCTATCAGGCTACAATTTCAAAACGAGTTCCTTCTTTTGAGAGGTTTTCTTCTCTTTAACCTTTCAAGAATTACAACAAATTTCCACCTTTTACAGTCACTAAGGGATTTTTGCAATAGCAATTTTGCAGTTTTAGCCATGCTAAAAATCTTAGAAATTGATACTAACTCCAGATGTCTTTCACTAGGTTACATCTCTTCAACCAATACAAATTAAGTGCAGCATTCACTTCCAAATTTGAGTCTCACACCTCAGCAACAATCACTAAAATATTATAGAAATAAAAGTCTTACAGACCTGGTTGTTTTGAAGTCTCTCAGTGCAGTGGAAATATATTCAGACAAGTGTTTTTCCATAAGTGCTACTCTGATCCAGGCTCGACCCTGCAAGAAAAAGCAGATATCAAATATTTAAACATTGCAGACTGAAACACTTAACTTTACATCTGAAACTGAATAAAATTGAATTACATGGATGACTTGATCCTGATTATCAAAATTACCACTAAAGAAAATTTCTTGTACTTCATTACTGTAATAATGAAAACAAAACATAAATTCTTGTAAGTAAACTTTGTGAAACAAAGTCTTCCAAAATTTGGACTTAAAATTTGTGTCAACACATCTCCAGCTTTTTCAGTATGGACATCCAAAATTCTTCCCATGTGCATCTTTAAAAATGTAACACTCCTATCTGTACTAGTTGCACTAATTGGCTTCTTATTACTATGTGTCATGGAGTTTTCCAGAGAACAAATGAAAGTTAAATTAATGCATAAGCATAATTGAAAAAGTAGCTTTGCATCTTATTGCTTATAGAACTTAAATATAGTACTTAAAGTACTCCACGCTCTGAAGATTTTGGAATTCAGAAATATCTTTAAAATAAGTCGTAAATGCAAGCAATACAACTGCTATATTTTAGGATGTCTAGAAAGTATCTAGAAACGAGTGCATGAACTATAAACAAAAAGAAAAGATAATAAGGTTAGAAAAAATGACATTTCTACAATTTTAACCTATCTGTGGTGAATTTAATTTCTCTCATCCTAATGCATTTTCCAAAAATTAAACAAGCTAGAAAACACGAAGGCAATCACTTTATGATGCAGCATACCTAACAAATAGAGGATTTGAGACTTATCCTAATGAATAACACAAATTTAAAAAGAAGCATTCAGATCTAAGTTTTTGGGGTAATTTTTTTAAATTGTTTTTGCTTTAAAAGCAAAATAAATATTTACTAGGTACTGTATGTCAAAAAATGAATTATTTCAAATACAGAGAAATATCACAGGGCAAGTTTAATCGTATGTTGCTGTGTTTTTTCCTTGGTATAGAAGTGTGAGCTACATTTTATACAGAAGGAAGAGAAATACTGCAGTCAAACTGACTTTTTTCTTCCCTACCTTAGCTCTAGAAGAACCGACATTCTCCATGTTCTCAATACTGCAGATGGAATTGTGAGAGACTTTTCGGCAAGCCACCCGAATGTAGTCCCAAAAACTACGAGTACTTTCATAACCAAACCAGGTGATCTGACCTTAAATCAAAATACAAAAACATGTGAAGATTTATGAACCTTCTTCCCCGCTTGCTTGAGAGGAGCATAATTCAGATACTTCCCTGTGTTTCCTATGCACACCCTGCAAAGACAGCATTTTATGCTTGCAAGCCCACTAATTCCTGAAAGCTGGCTGTACAGGTGACAAAAGGAACTTGCACCATGCAGCTTACTCTCAATGAAAACCAGTGTGAGATGTAAGCGTGAGGCTTTTGCCTATGTGCCTGTATTTGGTCCTTTTCTTTCTCATCAGGACTCTATGGTAATACACGGGACAGTTTACTCACAGCAAAGCACACACCTTTGTGACTTAAAACCATGATGAAAAAGAAAACTGAGTTTTGTTCTTCATACGCATGCATAGATATGCATGCAAAAAGAGCAGCCTTTGCTGTGGTACTGTTACCCTTATCTTAGGAGTCAATTTGGAATTGTTTCATAACGTGCTTTCAGTGCAGGAGAAAAGATGAACAATCAAAAAAGTTTAGCAGTCACAATTTCCTTTGCTTAGAGGACACACACAGTACACCTTGGGAGGCTGACAAAAATGAACTGAGCAAGTCAATATCTCTTCTGGAGTGGTAACCAAAGCTCTTTATTATTATTATTGCCATTATTATTTACTGCTTGGAAAGTGTTACCATTTGAAATCTGCTGCATGCAAAATACATTTCAGAGGTAACACTGAAACTTAACAGCACACAACTGCAAACAAAAATGCCCTCCAGTGACTGGCATTATTGCACATTGGCATGTGGAAGTGGTTCTGGGCAGCTTGGTCTGGTGGTTGGTGACCCTGCACATAGCAGGGAGGTTGAAACTACATGATCATCGCGGTCCTTTTCAACCCAGGCCAATCTGTGATACATGCAAAAACTTATTTGTATAAAATAAGCTCTTATTTTTAGGCTAATTATATTTCACATCTTGAGTTGTATTTTCCTGAAGCTTTACTAATTTCTCAGAAAGACTGCTAATTCTTTTGCAGGTTACAAAGCTCAGACTTCAAGAAAGAATAGTACACTTTTTTGCACAGTACCTAACTGACACTGCAAATCATACATACTAAAAATAAAATGCCAAAATACAGTGCCAAGAACATCTGTACCTAGTACAGATAGTACAGAACATTGAACCCAGTACAACGTAGTTCAGCTCCAAGCACAGCCAGAGAAGTGTCAAAGATTGACCTCAGCAATTCTAAGAAATTCAAGGTTTTGCTTTTTTTCCTCACTAGAGGACACATACAACTTAACTGTGTGACCCATCTGCTCACTTTGCCACACTTACTAAGTACAAGGCTTGTTAAAGCACATAAAAAAACAACCACAAACATACCAAGAATAAACTAGTATAAAGAAACTCAACGTGCTAAAAGAAAAACAAAATCCCAATGTGCTCCAGCTACAGCATATTCAGATTTTATCAGCTCTAAGGACTAAAATAAGACAGTATTCACAAGGTAACTGCTTCTATGAACTTACTGTTTTTGCTGAAACATCATGTGCCGTGGACAGAAACAGGAATTCAACATCATTTTAACATCACCAAAAGCTACTCATATTTTTTATATTCTTTATCACATTAGAAACATTTCTGCCCTGAGGATAGTACCTGCAAAACTGAATGCAACTTAAGTGTAAAGGTGTCTTCATGACAGTAGTTCCAGTCCCAGCTAACAAAGGCAAGCATATCACACAATAACTTCTACGATCTTTTCCACACTGCACAGAATATATTCTGCAAAAAAAACCAGCTTTGCCCTATAGTTTTCCGAGGTCAAAAAACCATACTACTCTACAACAGAAATACCTACCAGCATTTATTCAGCTTACACTGATCAGCAAAGCAAGCTGGTCACAATTACAATATATTTTGGCATAACAGAGAGCTGTGGTCTCACAAGCAGCTTTACCAAGAGTGTAACTTTTTGACTTCAGAAGGAACAGCCTTCACTTGAAACTCACAGCAGGAGCAGGACCTTTCATTAACCAGGGACTTCTAGTTTACCCCTGTTAGCTCACAACTTGCCTACACTCTAGCAATCAACACTATTTTAAAGAAAAGCAAGTTTTTAGTGTACAATTTGATTTCTGCTGAAGTTTGTAAGGAAAGAGTAAGTTTCCTGCAGAGCCCAAAGCCGTTTCTACTCACTCACAGTCCAACTTCAGACCTGGAAAACAAAGTTCCGCAGTTGCAAAGCAGTAATGATTAGGATGCTCTAAGCTACAAGTAGATTTTCTCCAAACTTTAGTTTAGTTTAGTTTGCAAATGACTTGTTGCTCCTTTGAAGAATTTTCATGGTACGTACTTTTATTTTAGGCCTCCAGAATGAATCATTAAGAATTTACAGTAGTTTACAAACCAAGTCCACCAAGACAAATACACATCACTTCAGATTCTTCTCTATGCAGAAGAAAGTAGAATTAGCTGAACCACAAAATGCCCAAAGAACTTTCTATTTCTTTATAGCCAAAAGCAGTAACAGGGTCACCATGTGCATGTAAATGTTAAACCTAGTAACAAAAGCTATTATTCTTAGAACATGTCAGCATAACATTATCAAATAAAGGGCCATCTCAGCCTGGAATTCATCTTTTTAATGACAGCAGTGACTTCACTACTTCCTTAACGTAACCTTTTCACCCCTGTTATATAACCACCTCCTTACCTCTTCTATGTAGAGACCCGTCTCTCCCAGGATGAGAGGCACAGCAAGATGCATCTTATAGAATCATGCTTCCTCTCCTGAGACCTGTGCCTACAAGCACAAGTTCTCTTCTACAGACATAATTCATACCCCTCCCATTTTAACTTTTTGCTTATGCTTTTAAGATATTACTAGAATTCATTGAATTTTAATACAAATTATATTGATATTCATTGCTTAAAAAAGAAACCCTGTGAAATAGCAGTTGGCAATTAGTGACTTTTTTGACCTAAAACTAAAAAAAAAAAAACAAAAAAAAACCCAACAAAAACATATAGGAAGGGATAAAGTGTGCACTGAAGACTTAGAAAAGTCTGCCACTGTTTCAGAAATATTTTTTTCAACAGTTCACACCTTACTGTGAAGAAGATAATGTCAAAACTAAATAACATTGACCAACGACATCACTTTGCATGGCTGGTTACCATTACTGGCATCAGACTGCAGACAACATATTTTGTCAAATGTTTTGTATAATGAGAAAAGAAAGAACTAATACATCTTTCTTTCCACTCAATCAGCACTGACCACCCTAGGGGCTTACCAGTCACTGGGAGTTTTCTACAAGGAAAAAAAAAAACACAATAAAATCCAGTCACTACATGCTAGGAACAGCATAGAACAAAGAGACAGAAATAAGAGCTATGGATAATTCTGGCAGAAAATTGTGATGTATTTATCTTCTCAATGTATTACAGGATAAAAGACATGGAGTTGTGCAAGTGTCAAAACAGCACAGTAGAACCTACCTTTTTGTGACATTATGGTATTGACTGCAACATAAGTGTACAGATGACAAGCTCACAGTAGCTACGACACACAAAAAATTACAAGCACACAAGCAAGATGCACTGTATTTCATGTCAGCAACAGAACCTTGGTTATATACTGAAATTACTTCTAGGCATGCATTCTGGTTAGAAGTTAGGACACAAACACATTTGTTGAAAGGATATTTAAATAGAAACAGGGAGTCAACAAATATATACCTGTGACAACAGTTTTCAAAAATATGTCAGAGAGGATGGCTGTAAAAACCTGCAATTGTGTTGGTAGTTCCTTGCTAACTCAGTTGAAAACTAAAGTGGTAGAAAAACACAGAAAAACATACAGCATTTTGATTTAGCAAAGCCAACATATCACCTTGAATTGGATTCAGGTTTTCAATCAGCTAGGATATATCTGTGATCAAATCCCAGGTAGGGCTACTGCACCATTTTTTTATGCTCCTACCACATCTGCACTAACTATATTTACTCAACTGACCTGACAAAAAGGACACGAACACAAACACCTGAAAATTCAATCTATGAGAGCAGTGAATAGAAGAAGCCACCAAGACAGCTGAAAGATATGGCTAAATCTCCACAATACCAGAAGATTAGGAAAGAAAAATTTCTGAACAACTCCTAGGAAGAAAGCAATTCCTGAAATCACCCGCCTTGCTTTAGTGATGATCAGATACACACACATTTGCATACAAATTTGTGAGATCTCCATTCAGAACTATAGCTCTTGTTCAGATCACAGACATTGGAACATGCTGTGCATCCACCTACTACTCTGCTGTATTATGAAACCATGTGAATTCTTAATCCTGAGAAGGAATAGAAGAGTAATTAGTCGCTTGTCCTCTTTCTGTTAATCCTTCTCTCCTGCCCCTTGAAGATCTCCAATTGCTCTGCCCAGTAATTAGCATCATACCTTGCCAGAAGACATTCAACAAAGCTTATTTCAAAGACAGGAAATACATAAGCTTTACAATTCAGATGTTGGATCTGCTCTGCATTCATAGTAATTAATGAAATAGTAATCACAGAATTGCTCAGGTTGGAAAAGACCTTCAAGATCATCAAGACCAACTGCAACCTGACCATACTGCCCTAACTCTAACAGCCCTCTGCTAAATCATTTCCAAACCCTCAGCCTCCTGGCTCTTCTGCTAAAAGTGCCAACTGTAGCAACATGAGCAACATATTCAAACAGGCAGAAAAGCAATGAATTTCCCCCATAAACACTCTTTTTTAACCTAAGTGACTTAGACGTGGGTGTTTATTTAGTAATTAAACGAGACTGGCATAACTACAGCAGCTCGCCCAGCAGAGAGGTGAATGCTGACTGAATGCAGCTATCTGTTCATGAGGTATAAAGGACTTAGGGCATATGACACCAAAAAAATTTCATACAAGGTAACATAGTGAGTAATGCTCAAAAAGTTGGCCACCTCTGTTCTACCTTGCAGTTATGTGTGCGCAAAGGATGAAAGCAGCAGTCAGGAATAGGCAGCTGTTAGAAAAAGCAGTCTAAGCTCTCAACCTGTTTTTAATTATCCCAAGGAACAGAAGAAGGTGTTTGGGTAAGCATTAATTGTCTTGTAGGAATTGAAAGCCATAGACTGCCTTCTGCTCTTTAAAGTGGAGATGTAATTGTCCCTGTGCTGTGTAATGCTGTATGTGTGGTGTACCTGGTGCTCCCTAGATGTACTCCCTCACCCACTACTTCTGATGGAAGATAAGAATTGTTATTTACCAAGGCTTTATGGAAGTTAATGTCTACAAACTCTCAAATCTGGACCATTTATTTAATGATACTGCCACTGGATTACCCTAACAACCCTGACAGAATGGAGCCATTTATGCTACCATAGACAAATATATCATGTATGTTCTGCCTGCCTTAAAACATTTTATGCAACCCACTGCAATCATCAGCCTGCTTTTAGTGTGCTTCCACTGACACAAAGCATGCGTGCAAATCATATTAGTCATTTCCATCAATAATGTGCAATTTCTTTCAAGCCCTGTGTTGTGTAATATTAAACACTCTTAACACTTGAAATGTCATGGTACTTTTATGTCAATTTCCCCTTCAAGTTTTTAAAGAGGAAAATAATTACTGGCAGTATCTAGCTTAATAACAAAATATTCCCCACTTGCAACATGATACACCAGTTGCTGCCTCTTTTCCTAAATTTAACTCCGTAAATTTCCCTTGCAATCACAAGGGGAAGACTGAAACTGAAACAATGCTGTTTTTTATTTTCTTCATTTGAAATATTATTTTATTTACAAATTCCATTTGCCTGTAACCCATGTGCCAGTTGTCAAGGCTTCTCTGTACTGCCTGTACGTACATATATAATAAGCTGTGAAGCAAACAAGTATTGGGATAAATAAATATATAAACAAATTTTGTAATAGTTTTCACTCAAATACCACTGAGGTTAGGTTGGGAGGGGGCAGTCAAGTGTCAAGTTGTTAAATATCCATAATCACTCCAATAATCTTTGTCACTGTGTGACAAACACTATGTTCCTACCCCACGGTGTGATTTCTTCCCTCCTCTGACAGAATGACAGCAGGCAGTAATTGTGCTACTCAAATGTCAGCCTACACATAACATTGTTCACAAAACTTATGAATATCAAAAAAACCCAGAAGAATGAAAAGGAGTGGATTGTCATATTACACATCTATATTTAGATAATGTCCTTTATAATCCTGAAATAATTTCAGGAACTGTATACAGAACTGAGAAATGTGGAGAAGCTTCTGAAGTCTCTTCCTAGTGGCTGCTATTACTAAGGAACACTCTGTCCTTTCTGTGAAGCAGCTTCCTCTAGAACACTCAGAAAATGCAAACAGACACTTTCTTGAATTGGAACATCTGACTCCAATACCAGAGGAGAATCGACAACTGACCTTTCTCAAATGCAATTTAATCCAGATCCATTACATTTACATGTCAGCAGTAAAAAAAACAGCTTTGCTGCAGGGGGAAGGGGAAATGACCTAAACACAGTGTATGGAAAAGCAGAGAACAAAAGGAAGGAAGGGAGAAAGACAAGGAAGCAGCACCACAGAACAGCCTGCTATACCTAAAAGCAAAAAACACTACAGTTGTCTGTGAGTCCCAGAACACAGCCTTATCATAAAGCAGGAAAGCAGAGCTCAGTACCATGGCAACATCCAGTTTCTTAATTACCAGCCGAGAAGGCTTTCAACACAAACAACAGAAACACATGATAAAAACTGTTTCTTGACTTCTCTGCAGCAATGTAGACCATTAGAAAGACAACAGCAATGGGACAGGCACACAAAGCCAGCAATTCCATTCAGCACTGAGGAGCTTCTATGACTGACAAATGAACTCTCACACCAACATCACCAAAGTAATACTTTATTAACCTACCTTTCAGTCGATGACTTAGAATCTGTTCCAGAATGGCTGCAAAATTATTAAATTCAGGAGAAGAGTCATCTATCGTCTCAAAGCAGGAACGGTCAATCAAGGTCTTGACTGAAAACCTAGAGCAAAAGCAAAGTACAGTCAGAAACAATGTCCATAATTGCTGGTCCTCAGTACTGGGACTGTAGTTTGTACAAAACAAATGAACAAAAACCCAGAAAACTACCTTGGTTTCGAAGTTCAGTTAAAGCAACCCACCAAGAAATAGCATGGAAATACAATCATCACCACTTGTCTTTGGCATAAAGCCTTAAAAATGACAAGAAAAGAAAAGAAAACATAAAATACTTTGTAGGTAAATGTGAGAGGACAAGAAAATAACTAGCTGAAATATTTTAGAGAAGCTGGAGAAAAAGCAGCAATTAAAGGCATTCAACACCAATTTACTTGACACTTCCCTCAATAGCCCTTTCATTCCTAAAATCCATGCACAAGAATCATAAGCTTTATTCTGAGAACACTTGAATTTTATCCTAAGCAAGAATAATCCAAACATATTATAAAACAGTGCATTGTTCTGCAGCTGTCTCTGTACATTAACTTGCACAGGTTGATTTCCCTGTGAAAGCTGGTAATTTCTTCTCAGCATCACATTAATCCATTGTTAAGTCACAAAAGCTATCAATTTAAATGATGTAATATTAGAAATTGGAAAGGCTGTACCAAGCCATTGTCAAAAAAAAAAAAAAAAAGCAACTAAATACAGCTAACATTCACTAATAGTTACATCCACACTTACACATCTTAATTCCTATTCAAAAGAGGACAATTTAAACCACTAGAAACATGACAACAACATGCTTTTCTCTCGCCATCTCCATTTTATTATAATTGGCTTTATCTTTCTGCTCCTTGTTCTTCAGTTTTCAGCTTCAAGGCAAGTTTCACATGTCCTCGACTTTGAAAGTAATGCATTGTTGAGGTGTCTATCGTTGCTTTCTGCAACAACACGTGTCTGTACTAATGGAGCCATACTGGAGCCTGAGGACTTCATTTCACCACACCTGGATTTTGATGGTTCCAGCTCAGGAAATTCTCGCTCTGCTCATCCCCAGTCCTGTGCCTGAGCACACCTGATAGCTGTACCACACCTACAGCTTGGCACAGCTACTCTGGACTGCACTTTTAATACTTGAGAGCAGTGGAGTAACTCTAAAATATGGATACACTCACCACGGACATGGTTCACAGCACCTCAGTACTGACTATGGCACAGGCACAGAAGCAGCATATAGGGCAGGAATGAGGCTCCCTCAGCCAGTTGTACTGTCTTCAAATGCTTTCTACTGTAAAAGCAACTTCCCTGTAACCCCAGTGCAGAGAGCACAGCTTCTTGATGCCTATTTTCAATATGACACAGTCCCTAATTTTGCTCAAACTGAATTTGCATATACATAATCCAAGAGTTTTGTTTCAGTTACCCTATAATACATAAACTTGTGAATAAAGACTCTTCATCCTATCCTTCCTGCAGGCTTCTGCTGTAGCTGCAGTGGCTTTGGCAGGGCAGGAATCAGGAGGGAAGAGCATGGGGGAGGAAGTTCCTGCTGTGCCAAGTTATGACTCAGTTTTGAACTCCTCCACTTCTTCAACCAGTTTTAAGTAGGTGAGAGACAAGCACTCCCATGAGTAAATCTATATCTAGTAAGTGCCACTGCTATTCATTACTCAAAGGGCAGTAATGATTGTTTTCTCAAAGCTGTACCACAACTAGGGACTGATTAGAAACAAGGGTCCAACAGCTGATCATCAACGGCTATCTTTTTAAATGCTTGTATTACTGCCACCACCTCTCTTTAGAAGTATTAATTTTCATCTCTCTGTTCTACACTTTCATTAAAACCTTAAACAAGCTTTACAGCTGGAGCAAGTTTGGCTGAAATTGGCTTTTGAGAGAGCTGCCAGGGAGTGTAAGTGTGGACACCTCATTTCTACAGATCAGGGCAGCAACAGTGCAAGTAGGCAAAAATTGAGCAATTGGAAACGTTCTAGGGGTAATTTAACTCAGTCATTAACGTCTCACATGTTATTTCCAGTGTGCAGTTCCTCAAAAGAAAGCCCACGCTTTTTTGCTCTGTTATCTAGAACTACTAGGGGACTAATGGGCAAGAAAGAAAAGGTCAAATACGAGGTACACGTGAGCTATTAAGAAACAACGTGCACGTAAACTCAACAGAATCAAAGGTTCAGGATAAGCACTGTTCTTGTTTTCCTTTGTTGCTCCCTACTCCATGCTCCCTTCTACTGGGCTACTACAATGGCACTGCACTCTGGAACAACAGGCTACACACACTGCAGAGAGTAACAGAACCTGTTCCAAACATGTATGAAAAGCTAAAGCGACTTGAAAACAAACTTACAGTGCTCTACGATGAACTACTTTGGAGAGCTGCAGTGGTAGAGGAATGATTTATTCCCCAAAACTATTGCTTCCCTGCAACAACAGGGTTTTGACTCCTATTGGTTTTCATTTAATTTTGTATTATCTCTCCCTTCCCTCTCATTCCATTCAGTAATTACTATTAGAGAGATTCCAATGCCATTACTTCTAAGTGATCTCTATAATGTTTTCAGATCCCTCCCTATTCATTTCTGTCACAAAGGCAGTCCTGTTTGAGCCAAAGAAACACACAGAAACAGCAGCATTCTCCAGCCTTAAGCAGAGCTTCTGAAGCACTCTTGATTACAAACAATTTACAGAAATGTTTGGGGAGTAGGTTCCTCCACCACGTATCAAATTCCTTGGACAACTCCAAACCAACACCGAACCTTTTCTGACTATATTCAAACATAAAAAGCACTGTTAAAGACATATGAAGCAGCAAGAAGCTTCTGGTAAGAAAAGGAAGGAGGGTAAAAATTTAACTGCTGCATGAATGTTACTTTTTATTCGGAGGATTCTGATCCTTTCAGTTTTCAGATGAATGGATGGATCTCTTCAAATTTAATTTGTTTGTAATCTGGAATCAGTGTAAAATATGTCAGCGTAAAATATTATAAGAACATAGACTACTAAAGTAGGAAAGTCCCCAGGATGATAAATGAACATCCCTTATCTTGTAGAATACTGATTGTATGTAAAATCTGACAGTTCATTTAAGGGTCAATGTCAGTGAAATGCAACAGCTCTTTCACGTATCAGCAGAATCATCATTTCAGAAACCTTTTTCCTGCCAGTTGTTCAATTCTGCATCAGAACTCTGTATTTATGCTAAAAGTCTTCCATTTTCTGGTGGTTCTGTTTTCATATGAATCTTTGATTTGTGAATCTGAAGGAGGAACAGACGAAAACAAAAATGAATGACCTCCAAATCCCAGCTCTACTTTGGAATATGTAAGGCATAGAAGTTCAGAGACAAAACATAGGGAGAGGGACGGATTTTAGAACTGTATATTACTTACTCCAACAAACAAACAAAAAAACCAGAAATCATTGCAATTTAAATCACCACTGCGCAGTTACAAAAGCACAACCCCCTATTTTCTCATACAATTAGTTTCTCAAACATTAGTTTGGAGAAGCTATCATTACTTCCCGGGGCTATACTACCACCCAACACTTTACTAAAAACCATCTGTTCCTTCCAAAACTGTAAATGTAAGAAACTACCCACAATGGCATGAATACTCAGATATCATTGCTGTAAGAAAAGACTAAAAGCCTTAAAACCTGCTTTAATAAATTAATAAATAATTGAATATTTAATAAATTAAATAGAAATCTGCTAAATTGTGGCTCTGACAAAAGAGCTCATTAAATTGTTAGAGACTGTTACCAGACAGTAATTCAAATGAACGCCTTCCTTGTAATCTTTCACTTTCACCAGGTAGCAAGCAGTATCATCCAAACATAATTGAACCAATTCATCAGAGCAATTTTTACCAGGACTATCTTATTGCCAGAAGTTTTGGATTGGAAAGGACTATTGGCACTTTAAATATTGATTTGAACATTCCTATTAAAAAAATAGCACTTTCCAATAATAGCAAATGTGTAATAACTACAGGAAGACAAGACAAGAAATATTGGAAACATTTTCATTTAAACTGACGGAAGAATAGAAACAAATGCATGCATTTCATAATAAAAAATGCTTCCTTCTCATCATCTTATTCAAATCTTAAGCTGTCCTGACAAATGATCATCTTCAGGATTTGAGAAGATATAGCAAAATTTCACTGTTTTACTGAAAATAATAACTATGTCAATTGTGTTTTCTGCAGTACTTCACCACTTCATGTGCTTGAGCAAACTCTGTTCACTAAACTTCTTTAAGTATGTCACACCATGACAAATACATGGAAGAAATGAACTGAATAATGAAATGTAACAGCACAGCCTGAGAGTCTCTCTTAAACAAGGAGGGAGCACAAAGTGGCAAGATCTGCAGAATACAGAATACTCCCTTAAAAACAATTGAGTACATCCTGCACAACTGCACTATTACTCGACTAAACTTGCTTTCCCAAGCCTGTGGGTTGACAATGCCTGTATAGCAACAGACAACGTTGCAGTATTCAGTTGTGAAGACATACAACGATCTGCTGGATCACAGAACCACAGAATGGCTTGGACTGAGAGGGACCTCAAACCTCACTTAGTGCCACGGGCAGAGCTGCCTTGCATCAGCTCAGCGGCCCAGAGCCCATCCAAGCCTGAGCGCTCCAGGGATGGAGCACCCACAGCTCTGGGCAGCAGTGCCAGTGCCTCACCGCCCTCTGAGTGAAAAATTCCTCCTTAACAACTAACCTGCATCTCCTCTCTTTTAATTCAAAGCTGCTCTCCCCTGTCCCGTCACTATCTGCCCACACTAAAAAGTCGGCTTCTTGGGTACGCTTAAAAATTGTGAGAACTTTCACTATAGCTCACGTAAGACTACAGAAAACTTTCCCCAGAAAATACTCAGGCTTGCTCGATGCCTTAAAAATCTACCAACTGAAACAGATGGGACGGCATCATCGCTATCAGCGCGTTTGTGCGTTTCAGTTTGCCGTGATGTAACGGGGCAGCACCGCGCGCTTGGAAACGCCGTGTTTCAGCCCCGCCAGAAGCAGAGCG